ATCTCATTAGATCTTAGGTGGACCCATCATGTACATGATACTTTTTTTAAGGTAAGAAAGCTGACATTGCTCTATCTCCCACCTGAGGTCTCTACATGTGCTTACCCACATCGTTCCGAATTTTAATCATACATGTGCTTTATGTCACCGGTTTTACTGCCTTCCTGTCATTTTCCCTGATGTACTTGTCAACGGCTTTGTGTTGATTAAAAGCTTGCTTAATTAGATTTCTAAGTGCAGTAACATGTCTTAATGTCAGTTATTGAATTTCGTGGAAAAAATCCATTTTTCTGCATGTGAACTGTTGTGCCGTACTGTACTTTCTGAAGACACATCCGTTATATCAATCTCCATCTCGAAATAGTTTCCAATCCGCTATAGGTAGTAAATCTAAATTGATATATCCCCGAGTTACAACATGTTATGACTCGATTATTTCACATCTGGCAAGGCCGCTTGTTTCGAAGGAACACATAGTGAAGGATTTGCCAGAAAAGCTCGCCTAATCACAACCGTCCATTTTCCATTTGGTTCTTCATTGATGAACATTGCGTAATGATTCAGTCAGTACCGTTTTTTCTGCAATATTTTTATTACCACAGTCAAAGCATGTGATTGAGACATTTTCACTGGAAATTACCGCTTTTCGGACAAATAAATCGCTTCCTTAACTTGCCTTATGGATGCAGCTGGCATGACCTAGTCTAAGATGAGGCTAAAGTCACCTTTTCATGACTGAAAAATCTTATTTTTATATCAGATAAAATAGTACTATCCAATAATTACCTTAGAATATGCTAAGGACTTATCTACAAGAACAAGTACCAGGTAATCTGAACAAGTCATTCAGTGCTATTCCAGATTAATAAGTCAAATTGATTTATACCAAATAACAGTTGCTATTTCGGCAGGGAGGAAAGACCTAATATAGGATACCAAACTAAGTAGTACCTTGAGATTGATTTGTATACTTTGCCCAGTGCCTTGATATTTGTATAAAAATCACTCATTAACAATGGGGCTGTAATTTCAAAGTTCCAGTGTCCTGCAGAAGTATGAAACATGAGAATCGATGACCATGTTTGCAACAATGAGAGGGATTTCGTCAAATGGCCGCAGTAAAGCGGTTATCATCGTGCACTGTGGACGAGAACGACCTGGGTTCGATTCCCGCCACAGCCGGTCACTTTCCCATTTGGCATCCTTCCGTTGGCAGCGGTCCCCCTTCCAGAACTGTTGTACACTGTTGTACATTAAATAAAAAGGAAGTAAAACAGTACTAGTATTCTAGTTGTTCCTTGTTAATCTAACTTAGGGAAAAATAATTTTCTTGGTTTTATAAGTTTACGTTGCTAGCTGGAATTGAACTGTCTACTTTTCGCGATACTCCCAATCGGACTCGAATAAAGCAAGTGAATATTTAATTACGCGCAACCCCCTCGTGAGCCTCGAGTCATATCGTGATAGCCATGGCTCCCACTGTCATCAACAGACTCACTTACAAAGTCAGACTAGGTGAGATCAGCTGTGATCAGTAGCAGTATTAATCAAATCAATGAATTCCAGTGGGACTGTTCTTCGAATTGTTGGTATGATCGCCTTGCTAGTAAGTGCTTGTAGTGTAACAGACCCCGGGATGCTGAATAGACAGTAATCTACCAAAGGACTTCCCCAATATAATTATTATATCGCTGATAAAACTCTTCAGGTTTTACAGACTGTTCGCGAAAGTTAAACTGAACGGTGCAGTAGTGCACCAGCATGCGATCTGTACGATAAATGTCTCTGTGTTCTCCATTCATGGTGGTTGCTGCAGATTTTAATAGAACTAATGTGAAACAAATAACTTGTGAACCACTAACTATTTGAAAGTCTACTTTCAATAATTACTCCATGCCCTTCTGTATCTTGGTGTTAACTGAGATGCACTACTATGTCCTACACATATGGTTGAATATTCCTCCTGAAAACCAAATCTTGGTTAAAAAATCAAACAAATTGGTGGGACTCTTCTTATTACGATAACCTAACATATTCTACTGAATTCATTCCATGAAGACTAAATGTGGTCTTCAAGAAAGTGGTCTACACAACAGTCAATAAATCATCGCACGTTTTATTATTTTTCCCTGAAGTTCGTAGTTAGCTATGATCAGTGACAAATACAGTTAGTAAATTAGCCTTATTTTTGGTACACTGACAATGCGAGAACAACATCCGGTATCGTACCAGAAGCTGATGATTCTAGGCAAACAACCGCTCCTATGAGTAATAAGGACATCTAGAATGGTAGGAGGGGTGCCCACAAAATGACATTTTGCGCCTCTTCTCCCAAACTAGGTGTATGATAAGCTGATATTTTTCCATTTGCTTGTAGTTTTGCGACAGTTTTCAACTTTTTACAGCTAGTGTTAGACCTGTATGGTGTCCACCTATGCAAACAACTCCAGAAAACGGATATGTCCATTCGTTTCGTCTGCTAATTCAACTGATCAACAGTGTATTCTATTCAAATTCAACAGTTTTTGTTCTGCTCCTGTTCATATCAATTGACAACTTCCACCTGATACTGATTTCATCAAAACTCTTTTGGATCTCTGTGGATCTATGGTGCGCAGCCAATCGCAGTTCAGGGTTTTTTACTTACGTGTCATTTTGCTTTGTCTATTCATTCCACTTGAACTTGGCAGAGTGGCAGCTCTCATCGCTCCCAGAAGCATATTCGTGTTAATCTCATTCACAAACGGAATAACTCTTCCACAGCCTCAATATTGATCCTTTCATCTTACTTCAAAAACGTCGGCATTCGTGAAAACCGCTACAGTAAAACGATCTAGCTCATATTTGGAACACACTACGTTTTAAATCCAATAGCAATATGCGTTTCCTTCACAAATAACCGACGATGATTTGATATCATATGCCCCATATCCGCTCCCTAACTGCCAGTTCTGTCGGCAAGGCTCATTTCACAGCTTAGTAGCTTCTATCTCTTTGAATGGGAATTTCGCCGAGGATCTGAAGAATTTTTACGAGGCCGTTAATTTGGACAAAACCCCTCTCACACAGTCCACTGGGAATGCGGAGGTTGCCCAATGTTGCAAACCCTGTCAATCTATTCCTCGTAATATCTCACGATATTTATTATGGTATACTGAACTGCATCCACACCGTAGTCCGTGACGTTTTGCTTCAGTTCTTCAAGTTGTATTATTCTCAGGTCTTTTCTGAAGCATAGAATATACCCGTCGATTCATGGAAAAGCTTTTCTAAATCCCAAAACGCCTTACGATTTGCTTATCTCATGCCAGAAGTGTGAAGTTGGTTAAGCTTGAACCTGGTTGATACCTCTTATCCACCTGCTTAATATATAGCTGCAATAAGCTATTCCGGTGCCATTTTTGTCAGCGGTTTATTTTGCTTGGCCCTTCTTTTCTCTTTCTGTTCTGTCTTGTCCATGTTCGTAAACTGTCTTGATCAATTCAAGCAAATGTCATACTCATCCCCTTTCATCCCATACAAATACACCCCCGAACAGTCTACCAACTGACGTTCTGTCCTATCCATATTCGGAGATGGGTTCCTATGCTTTGAATAATGTTCCCAACTGCTGGCCCAGCACCCTTAGGGAGATTTTCCAAAAATTGTCTCATTGTTTGGTGGTTAAACCGCCTTCCTCACCTGGCGTCATTGTAATGTTTTTCTTTTCCCCCACCCACTGTCGTGTTCGCAAAAACTCACGAACCAGTGCAAAATCTCCACTATCATCGAGCTGCATAATCTTCGTACCGATTTGGCTAGCGTAACGGTGCTAACCCGTATGTAGCTCTTCACCCGCCTTCTGCCTCTTCAGCGTAATGTATCCATCGGCGTGATGATTCGTAATTAGTGCGATTTTACTAATAACAGTACCCTTCAGACTGAATTAAATGATGTATTTAAACACCACTCCCTACACAATATTGCTAACTGCAGAGTCTCCGCGAACTAAATATAACTGTAGCTGTTTCACGTTTTTAATCTATACGACAGTGTCCGGATTGTTTTCCCCCTGAGAAAACGCTACTAAATGGATCCCCGCATGTTGAGGTTAGTGTTCGGGACGTGAGACTGAAAGGAATCGAACTGGTCGTGTCCATCTTCTATTCACTCCACATGGGGGAGGGGAACAGTGCTCCCGACCGCCACTCCCAATCGGAGACCACATCCTAGCCACAGAATGGTTCCGTGGGTTACTCGGTTCTGATTGGTCCGGCCATACCAATAAGCTAACCAATCAGAAGTCGACGAGGCTAGCCAGCAGAAATTACCCAAGGTTAATGAATATGGGGAAATTAAAACGGAGACAACTCGTTGCGGTTTTACTTCTTTTTCGGATTGTCAAAACAGGAGTGAGCAATCAGTCCAGGTGAGTGGGAGGTATTTTTCCTATTACAGAAACTGAATAACATTTATTCATTCTCATTTGTGAGTAACTTTCAGTTCATTCACAGCCGTCTTTCACTTAATTTCTATCATAACTATACGATTAGTTTAACCGGCCATAATTTGATGCTCTATATTTTGGTGCAGTAGAAAAAGTTGCGAAATACTGCGCAATATATTCACTGATTAGTGTGGTCTAGTGGGTGGAGTTTGATGCTGTCTTACGTGATTCTACACTGGCCTGGAAACAAGCCGATGAGTACCAGTGCATCAATTCTTAGTGCTTTCATCGATTTTTATTGGTCGTTTGATTCATTGCTTTCCGTGAGATCGGAAGGAGATTTTTGTCATCGAATAATTCGCTGCTCATAGTTGCTTTCTATTTGAGATGATATTCAACATTTTTTATTTATTTGTTCAATAAGTTGAGCAATTTGAGCCACATTATCAAACAAGTGAAATTAGTAATTATCTCTGCTCGTTAACGTCAGATGATTAAAATAAACTTGGCATAGTTCTTTTAAAATTGTACCACCATATATTTTCTCATCTTCCAGAGTTTATCGTCTCTCATAATGAATCTTCTTCTGCCACATTTAAGCACAATGAGATCATTTGACTCACGGACCTCGGAGCTGAATCAAATTAAGCCATTCGCACAAAGACTGTCTGAAGTGGCTGATCAGATGAACAATCAATTTCGACCCAATTTGGGACAGTCCTATCGTCGAATGCAGACGGAATTTTTCTCATTGTTGGTAAGTCTTCGTTTTCTGAATTGTAAAAGAAGACGTTTCTGGTTTTTGACCGGAATTATCTTCTTTCTTTAGTATTATCATGGGTTCCTGATCATTGGGCATAGCTTTTAGGTCTCACAATGTCTCATCACTAGTCAAAGTGAAATCAGTAGTGTCTAGAACACCTCGATCGGTGATGAAACGAATAATACGTAATGGTTAAGCCTAACAATTTCGCGCTAAGGAACACCACTGTGGGATATTTCTGTCGGATGTTATACTCGTTGTCTCATTCTATCATTTTGAACTTGTCTTGCTTTTGATCCGTTCACAAAACAGATCCGCACACAGAGTTCGGTGGTCCCAAATCTCTGTGGAATATCCGTGTTCGTGGTCGTGACATGGTGGCTATTACGCAATCGATGATCATCTACTGGAGTAGAACGGTGCAACCATTGTAACACTATTATAAACATGGCCCAATTAGAGCTATACGAATCCCCACTATATGGACCAAATGATCTGCACTGCCGCCTCCGCTGTCATTGCTTGGAAGGCACACGACCATCAACTGCGTGTGGGCGCAGCCGGTAATGTCAACCGAAGCACACTGTAAAACATACGAAGTCTTGATCCACTCCTTGAAACGGTTAATCCATGAGAAACATTGACCGAAGTTGTAAAAGGAATTATGTGTCCTTCCATTGCACCGGAACTGCAAGATTACACGGATATCAAAGTGATCAAGCAAGGATTTCATAAATCAAACGGTGCATTTCACAACAAATATTCAACTTTCAAGAGATAACGGTATATGCTCCCTACCCCCCTACCCCCTACTTCGTATACCATCAAGATTTATCTTCATATTTGCGATGGTATCCATATTGTACAGTAATATATATATATATATATATATATATATATATAATGTTTATGGCTACTATTTTTGTTGAATTATCTTTTTCGTCTATGTTGTACAATCGTTGACGATATAACGTACATGGACAACAAAGAATGAACTTTGTTCTGGAATCTAAGCTGTAAGGTATTCTGACCATAAACACAAGGTCATGATTAACGAACAAATGAACTAGGGGTTGTGGGTTCGAATCTGACCACCTACGGTCCGTTTTCGTTTTTTTCGTTCCGTGGCTTCTGAATAACCGCATCTCCCTCCTAAGCCGTTGTGCCATCGTTGTATGACAGATAAAAAACGGGATGTGAGAGCTGTAGTGCCAGTAACCATAGGATGAAGTAGTCCTACATTATCCGATTATTCCCACAGAGCACGCTGGTGAATAAGCTCGTTTTCAGTGATTCATACTTATGCCATTACATTAGAACACATTACGGTAGTTTAAGGGTTGGACCTATTAGATTAGTAGAAAATAATAGATATTAATCATGACAATAAGGAAAGAAGGCAACTGTAATCACGACTTAAAGCAAGACCAGATGTGGATGATTTCTCACGTATTATGTCCGTTTTCTTCTGGTTTATGGCCTGTTGTAGGGGGGAGGGGGGGGGGGGGGGTGTGAGCCACGGCATCTTCTGAGTACACAAATAATTTTTGAGCACTCAAAGAGGTGTTGTGTAGGCGGATGATTTTCATTGATAAATTGATGCCCTAGTATCCCGTAGTAAACCGTTGTGCTTTTGTCTACTCTTCCTCCTTGGTCATGAAATACTAATCAGCAGGGGCAGATCCTTGTTACCACTTGAAACTACAGGATAAAAAATAAAGATTTCTTTGATTGAGGCGAAGTTAGCATAAGAAGTCGCGAATGCTTTGTTACCAACGTATTCAGATTGTTATTTGGACTCGGTTGTGCCTGTTCAGTTAATTCACATTGCAAACACTGGTGTTCCAGGAACTGTGTTCTTCAAAACTGTTTTCCCGTAAATGAACAGAAAAGGGAAGAAAAGTCCTGAAACTGTTTGGCTGTACAGGAGAGTCACTTGATTTGAAGAGAAATTTCTCAGAACCTTCTAGGCAATTAGTAGTTGGTGTTGCGTTGCAGAGAATTGTTCACGCGAAAATTGTGACCTCTAATGATGTTGGTTATTGAGCACTGATTCGTGTAACTTTCTTAAGCAACAAGTTTGCTGGGTAATGGTCGGCCGTAGTAGAAATTAGTTTCAACGGATTCATCTCGCACTAATATGACTCTGCTGGTGGTTGAACACCATGAAAGCTCTGCGCATAGCTGTCTGCTCGTGTTTGATAGGCCTCAACTCGATGATGAAATGGGTCCTTTTTGGATATGTGTCTTTTCTGCTGCAGTCAGCGGTAAGCACGGAATAAGAAAATCAGAAAGGCTCAAAAGCAATATGTGATACACTTGTCCTAGAATTCTGGGCTCAGTTCAATTCAGTCCTCATTGAGGAGCTTACTGTTTAAAATGAATTTTCAGTGAGTTGAGCAATAACTCTATGAAATGCATGTTATCATGGATTGGCAGCAATAAACAAAACTCCGTGATTGTGCGGTGAATTATCCACCAGCAAGCGAACCGGACATAGTTCTCATTATATTTATATATTTCTCACAACAGGAATGTGTATGAATGTTCTTCGTCGGAGAGCCTTTTATGGAAACAAATTTGATTTGCCGGTAGTTCTGTGTGGGCTAGTCACAGCTGATGTGAAAAAAACGACTACTCTGTAGCAGTTAGTTGATATATTTGAAAGCAAGTAACTAGTATGGAGTACAAAACTTTCCTGGAAACACAAGCAATTTTTGCCGCTCATCAGATATACGCCTCGGAAGCTCCCCTGTTAACCCTTTTTCATACTGGTACACTCAGCAGGTGCATTGAAAAATTACGTCATTCGTTAAGTCAGCATTGTGAGTGAATGACTCTCACTGAAGAGCAGAAATATCAGCGCATCACATTTGTGGTTGTCTAATGAACTCCTCAAAGTAAGCATATATATACAAAGGATAAGTAGCGATAAAGTTTCATAAAAGTGAAAGCAGTCCATTCAGCACTAAAAGCCACAAGAGGACTGTACAATCGGTTAACCGCACACCTTGCGATTCGCTGGTCATATGTATCTAACGAAGCACTGTTTCATAAACTGGAACCTAAGACATTTGGCCGGTGGTGGTCGAGAGCTTTTGTTCATCACATCGGCGGTCAGAGGTCCAAATCCGACCCCTACCGGTCATTTTGGTGGTAGACAGTAATCCGTTGTCGCCCTGCTCGTTACCACATTTGACCATTTGGGACCTTATGTGGGTCTCCAAATCAAGTTTCAAGGTCTGGTTGCCGGTCATCCCTAACGGAGCAAGGGTTTTGTAGCTATAGGATATACTATTTAAGCCGTATTGGTGCGTATGCATGTGATAAAAAATGTGCCAATAACTGTAGTTACCAGATACGTGCTTTTTTGAAATAACTAAGAAGATGGTAATGTCTATTAACAACCCTTGGTAGACTGTTGGTACTTCGTATAATGTCGACAAGGAGAAAACCTTGGAGGAGGAATACTTATGACCACCGGGTTTTGAACTCTACCACTAACTCTAGGGAGAAGCCTTTTCTGCTTTCGAATCATCTCGTTTTAGCAGTTTAAAACGATGATTAAAAAAAGACCCATGTACCAAATCGTTTCACACAACGTATTGGGCCCACTGTTGTGGGCAAGCAAGCCTCGAGGTTTAATCACTTTCATTCTACCGAACCACGCCACCGATCGGCTATCCTGTCGCTTGTTGTTTCGTGTGCCCCCAATGGACTGGCACTGAAGCACTGTCTACCAGTGAGATTTTAGTACACCGGATACCAGGTAATAACTAGATCCCGAGATTGGCTTATGGAACGGGCAACAAACCAAAAGTTCCGACACGTGCCAAAAGACGGTAAAAGTCGATGGAATAGGTGAAGGACAGTTTGTATTGAAACCATGCTGTCCACGGTTACTTTCGGGAGCGACCTCAGACGCGATACTAGCTGAGGGGGCTAAGGGTTTAACCGTCCGCAAGCAGAACAGTCAAAAATGTGTTTTTCAATTGGCAGAAACCAATTGTTCTTACAGCAAGCAGACAAACAAGGCACAGCCCTGTGGCATCGAACAACATACAAACTGCTCACAGCTAAGTGCTAATTGGTTATGTTTATCTACGATAATTTTCGGTCATGAATTTACACATTAAAACTCGGTCATCTCCAGGTCGTTACAAGATTAGGTCGTCTGTCGAATGATGTATCAGATCATACCCTCACGTTCACTATAATATCAGGGAATACTGACAACTACGGCCCTAAGATTAGGATCCAGGGGAGAAAACAAGGTCAAAAATTCGTCAAATACGGCAACGTTTCAAGTCTCAGTGAAACATTATCCGTGTGTAAATCTGACCGGCAGAGACGGGGCTCGCACTTCTTACCTCAGCCTCGGCAGCCACCGGCGTATACCGCCTGATCATTGCCCACTAAGAAGAGGTTCGTTATATATGTTCGAAATCCCAATCAGTTAGATTAATCGGCAGTGCGTATCTCATAATGCAACTTTACGTCATGCCACCTTGATTTGAAACAAGTCACTGGCAACATCATTCGGCCGGGCTAATAGTGAACAGGGTGAATTTTCTCGATAGAATTTATGGCAGGGGGACTTTTTAATGTATGCCACTGATCTGCCAAATGCATGAAAGGACATCGAAAAAGACAGTCAAAAACGTTTACCAGGGCAACGTCAAATATCGAAGGAAGACTGAAAATTATATCCAACAAAGATGGGTCAAAACTAGCAAGACACGAATTCTGAGTCATATATCATAATCGGAAGCAAAATGAATACAGTACTGAAAGAACGGCCAGCTGACAGTATGAGTACCCACATACGTGCCCGTGTAAGCACACAATACAGTGCTTGTACTTGAAACAGTGTCCCTTCTAGCCCGTTACTAAGACCGGAAAGAAGACATATATTGCTAGATGCAAGCTTTTCGTTCAATCTTGTCTATCACGTGTGTAAAACTTGTCAGTTTTTATATGATACGGTACATGCTATACACAGTGGATGAGATCAAGAGAATGTCTATCACAAATGCGTCAACAATTTTGGTAGGGTTGCGTGACTAATCCCAGGGAAGACGGACAGTTCCCAATTGACTTTTTTGTATCCTATGGGGGGAGTTTCCCGCCATGATCAACATAGCTTGACTAAATGCCCGCACTTTTGCATAGCGGTGGCCTAATGGTACTCTGAATGACCGGAATTTGTTTTGTCCATTCCGACTGAGTCAATGGATGCAAAAGCCATTTCGAAACGAGTTCAGTCACTCTTTGAGCCAAGTACAGTTCTGTTCTGCCAATACACGTGTCATCAAAACTGCAAGTGAACCGGTAAACAATGTGTGAGGCATTGAGAGCAATATGACTGCCAGAGTGACCATTACATTTTAATCTTCTAG